GCTACTCACTTAAATGGGCTATATAGGTATGTGTATTTTCGGCTCTTTTGGTCATAAACAGGGTATCAATTTTGGCCATTTTGATCATAAATAGGATATGGTTTATGCACTCAAGTCTTGAACTGGGTATGGTTTTTAGACAAAGCTACTTTTTCAGGTCATAGATACAGTAGGCGAGGAAAAATCACACATTTTGGTCATAAATAGGGTAAGGGTTTTGGGGAGCGGGCTGCACACTAAAAACAGCTAAAAATTGTGGTGTTTCATCATCAAAACCCTAAGTGAGACAAGAATCTTTGATTCCAATCCCTAAACGAGACTACGAGCATCCCCGACCTTTTCATATGGGATTCCCCCCACCCCCCGGGTTATTTCAAACTGTTGAACATCATTGCCAGAATGTGGCACCCAGTTTGTTTTCAGAGAGCACATTCTCATTGCGTTGACTGAAAGCCTTTTTACATAAACGCTTTAATTTAATAAGTGTATAGAAACTGTTTTCGTGCTCACAACTTTTCAGGAAACAATCGTAAAGAAAAACATTCCTGATATCGCCGAGGTGATTTTTGTCAAGTTTTGTTTGTAGTCAATGAAGTGTGAATTTGCATTTGTGAAAACAAATGCAACTCCTACAGTAATACAGTGCAAGGCAAAACTGTTAAATTTATATACAAGATATATTTACAATGAACAACATACCTTGAATTTTAAATAAGAAAAGCCTCTTTCCTTCTGCGAAAACATTGTGCACATGGCGAAGAAAACATGGCGTGACAAGTCTCCCGGGTAACTGTTCGAGCCTTGAGCGACAAGACTAACAGATAAAACGCGCGTTCTGATTGGCTCATACAATTTCGAGTTTGGAAGGGCTGTGTGGCCGCTGTTAGGAAAGTATTTGACTCTGTAAATTATTGCCCTGCTGTGTCTTCTGTGGGGTTGGCCAGGAATATTTTGGGTACGGATCGATTTCATACGGCCATGAAAAAAAAACAGCTCATTATGTGTACAAAAGGAGGGAAAATTCGATGTTCACGACATTGGCTTTGCGGCTGTGAGTAAAGTAAAAAAACATGTTTCTCACTGTTAGCCAGTCTTGCAAGGCTAATCCGCCTGTTCTGAAGGCAACCAGGACGTTATTTTGTGTGATTTAAAAGGAAATGTTATATTAATTCGCGATTTTCTATTTAAAGCTACTGACAATATACCCCCTCATTGGTCGGTGTCGACCATAGATTATGCGCCCTAGTCGTGGCTGGAAAGTCTGATTCTGAAGTAGCAGTCTCTACAGCATCGAGTGCAGGTCTGTGTGGTCGTAGGGTTGTCTCTAAAGGATCACAGCGCCTTTCGTTTGGCTCTCTTTTTTCTATAAATTTAACCAATTTAGAGGGAAAGGGAGAAAGACCTTCTCCCCCTTACTTTCTCAAGGGAGAGTCCCCACTGGACAAGCCTTTTCCCTGGGGGTTGCAAAAAGGCGGGTAAACTAGTTCTCAGTCCCTTCTTTTGTTGGCATCAAAATGCATAAGGTTAGACTGGGTGAAAAGGCATTTGCCACTGTATGGGTCCTTGCGTTCTCACGTCGATGTCACATAATGTATACGGGCTCGAAGACCGCTGGGGAAGGTAACCCCGTCGCGCCAAATTTGAGCGTTTTCACTTCCTAACCCTCCGATGTCCCTGAACATCCGAGGATATAGGAAGTTGTTATCAAAGTACTCTTTTGAAAATGGGCTGAATTAAGACTCCAGAGTCAGTGGTTTAATATTTTCATAAACTTATTTAATGCAGTTAATTAAAAAGTTATCTAATTACAAGTGATCATCGCTAGGCCAAGAAAACTTAATCAACCAAGAACATGATTTTCGGATTGATTTGTGCGTTTAGTCCAGGACCATCGACACACTATAGCGTCACTGTAGTTAGCTGTACTTAACTGCTGAAAGCACATATGGTTTCTTCCAAAAATCGGAAGTACTCAGTCTTAGTTCAGTCGTTACGATCAGGCTCTATCACATTGTATTTTTATAAAATATTTTGCTGAAAATCACTAGATCAAACCCCCGGAAACATTTTTTTGGGCCCACAAAGCCACTTTTAGTCCATCTGTATATAAAAACGGAGAAGTGTATACGCCTGAAATTTCTTGTATGAAGGGAACTTCTCTTCATCGTAAGAATATGTGAATAAAACTGCTCTGTAATGGTAAGGTTCGTGATTTTGTTATGGCTTTACGGGCCCGGAAAGTTTCCGGGGCTTTCGAGAAACGGGCCCCTGGACCGAGGTTGAACGTACTCTAACCAATCAGAAAGCAAAGATGTCAGGCCTATCAGGTACCAAATTGTTGGGTCACGTGAATTTCCCGTGCATTTCCCACGCACTTCGCGGATCCTCTGCCAGTGCTTTGCGTTCATCTGATTGGTTTAAGACGCTTCCTATTTGCTGTTTTGTGATTAGTTCATTATGCTCTTTTAGTTCTACATAAGTCAAGGAAATGCGAACTAACAGTAATGGCAGTCGATTGAAGAAAAGCTTTTAATTTCTCATGTTTAATAATCAAGTAAATGCCAACATTAGGTTTATCCTTGAGTGGGATACGAGAAAAAATAATTTAGTCCTCAAAGAGTGTCCTCACACCTCAAGCTTTGAAAGTGACCTCTCTGTGAGTCATTTATTTGCTATTCTGTCGAAAAGCGCCATATATTTAAGGTCGATACCTATCTAATAACAGTAACTGATAATAAACTGTACATAATTGTTCAGTATTTTGTAGCTCGAGAGTTCTGTCTGACCTAAAAATTGAGAAGATAAAAGAAGACCGTGCCTTTCATGTACTTTTCTCATCACCGGTATAGATGTCAATCCATTCTAGTTTTGACAGAGGCTAACAGAAAGCCACAGATAGCGAAAGAGCTAACTCCTTTTCCACGAAGTTCTGACCATGAACCCATGGCGATGGTCACGGGCCCCTGGTCCTGACTCATTCTCCGTCACGCAACGAACTAGTCGCAATCAACTTCTCCTGCTACAGTGAAGCAATTTACATGATACCTTATCCAAGGCCACTGATTGAATATCTTCCTTTAGGGTATAACAAACGAGATAATGATGATTCATTGGAACTGTCTGAGAGCACCCCTATGAAACAGGTAGCTCTTGCATTTGACGAGAAACAAATGTCACTGACCAATAAAAATATACTGGATCATTTAATTTTGCTGTTTGTAAGTTTTAAAATGTTTGGCCTCTTGTTAAGGCACATTTCGGCCATTAACATGTTAATTAACCCCATTGAGAGATTGAATGGGTCGAGGTCGCGGTGGAAAGACAGCAATAGTAGGTTACTGAACAGGATGTGAGTGCAAGTTTGCAGATTTTGTTTTCTTCTTTTCGTTTTGTTTTTGTTTTGATTTTTTTGTATGTTTTGATTTCTTTTTTTGTTTCTAACTTTCTCTGAGGCTAGGACAGGGGTGGCAGTCCGAGAGTACCAAAAGCGTAACAGAGAGATTAAGAAGGCGTTACAGTAAGATTAGCAAAAGCGTTACAGTAAAATTAGCAATATTAAAAGAAGATTAACTAGATCAGCGAAAGGGCAACAGAAAGCATAGCATATCAGCAAAAGGGTTACAGGAAGATTAGCACAAGCTTAACAGTGAGATTAGAGAAAACATTAAAAGAATGTTAGCTGGTTTTCTATGCCGTGTAATTTAGAGAGTGAAGCGCTTTTGATTTTGGATTCCGAGGGTAGCTATATGAAGTCCTTTGGTAGTCTAAAATGTCGGTCATCTCCTGTCCCCAGCCTAATCCCAGGGCGAGGGACGGCAATCTTCGCCCCAAAGAACGTCTGCTGGAGCAAGATTGCGAGATGAGTTCGGAGGAAGATGGCGTGACGGACCCAAAGAGCGTCTGCGTAGGAGGCTAATCAGCAAAAACGCCTGCATTGCGGCCCAAATACAATTAGCAAGAACTAGTTACAGAAAGAGAAGATTAGTACCAGTTACAAGCGTTACAAGTGTTACAAGAAGATAAGCAAAAGCATTACAGGAGGATCAACAGAAGTGTTTGAGGAGGACAAACAGAAGTGTTACAGGAAGGTAAACAGAAGTGTCACAGGAAGGTAAACAGAAGTGTCACAGGAAGATAAAGAAAACGGTTACAGGTCCGTTACAGGAAGATGAGAAAGCGTTACAGGAAGATAAGCAATAGCGTTACAGGAAGAAAAGAAAAAGCGTTACAGGAAGATTAACAAAAGCGTTACAGGAAGATTAGCAATAGCGTAACAGGAAGATTAGCAATAGCGTGACAAGACGACAAGCAAAAGCGTCATAGGAAGATAAGCAGAGTGACGTAACTGTTAGTAATTGTTAGTGGACTCTTAGTGGTGAAGTTTAATAAGTTAAGCCCAAGGATCGCTTGTCGAGTAGAAAACAGGAGAGAGGGAACGGAAAACAATGGATCCCATCCCAGAAAAGTACATGAAAGAAACGCTCACATGCGATTGTTCTAAATGCGTCAGGTGAGTGAATATGCCCCAGCTAAAACTCAGACTAGGGAATATCCGGGTGATATTCTTCAATTTTCAAAACCGAGCGTGTTGCGAAAAAATATTTAAAGGATAATAAACCCAATAACCTCCATTTGGCGCGAAAATACGCTCGGATGTTTGTCTTTGGACATTATCTGTTCCTCAAAGCTCACAACAGATGATAATTCTGCGGACAAATATCCGAGCATATTTTCGCGCCATATGGAGGCTATTGTTTAGATATTGTAGGTTTATCTCAGTGAATCCGCGGTATTTTGACAAAACGTAGAAAGCTTAACATAAGTTTACCCTAAAAAGTAAGAGCTGTAGTCAACTACCAAAAGTATGCACTTCCGACTATTGCACTGATAACAAAACCTTCAGAATTGTCAGTACAATAAATCAAGTAAGAATGAATTGCTCTGCCCAAAATTTCGTTCTAAAAATAAACTATTAAGCTATACACGATTTAACGCGCCTCAATCCGAGATACATGCTCCTGGTTAAGCATCTTCAGCCATAATTATTAGACTACCAGCTTTCTCTTTTTGAATTTTTCCTTTGAATCGCTAGATTTATCCCCCTTAGAGTATAATTCATCCTTAATATTTTCCTGGACGAATCTCTACCAAAGAAACGTTGCCTATGATTAAGCAAAGTGGAACACCTGACTTCTGACAGATGCCACTATAAAAAGGCGGCATGTCGCTTAGAAGAAAGAATCTAAAGTACTTTTTTTATCATACTGTACACTGTAAAAAAGTCCCAAAGAAGTGATGTCAGAAGCCGCGCCATTATTTTTTTTAAATTCGGCGGGAAACTAGGCAGAGAAAAAACGGAGTATGCACGACTATTACGTTTCACAGTTCGCCAATAAATCTTAATAAATTAAATCCCTCGAAAAAATCTAATCAGCTTTCGACTGAAACAACAGTGCGAGAATTCCGTTATTAGCCCAGACATCTAAAATTGGTCCGAACAAAACGCTTTTTCTTGTCTATCTATAATTCCGTTTCTACGATGAATGTGATAAACATCACTTCTCTCCGAATTGCGGGGTCGGGAAAATTGACCTGCAACCATGCTAACATTAAAGGAGCCCAGTCACGGTATTTTTAGATATTTTGGCCACTTACAAAATTACCTTTAAATTAAAGGAAGCCTGAAAATAGTAATTTACTAAGACTGCAAAACACCTAGGAGCAAGGATAGTTAAGGATGGACAAGATTAACGCGGATTACATTTGACGAACTTGAAAAATTTAGGCTAAACTTTTCAAGATACGCGAACCGTCACGTAGCTCCTTTAACGTAAAAGTAACAGTTATACATTGCGGTTATATATCAGACACATCGTCAGTCCGTTTTCAAAATCCCAAGTGGGAAATTCAAGCAGCATCTTTTTTTTTAAAAAGTTCTATTTGGGCTAATAATAATTTGAATTCTTACCGCAAAGCGGCGAAGATTGAAAATCTTAGTATGGTGCCCAGTCTTTACACGTCCGTGTCATTGATGAGGCCTGTTGACTCGCTTTTACCGTCCATGTCCGAGTCTCCGTTTGACATTTTACCAGACTCCTTGGCCATGCTGGCTAGCGTGCCTCGTTTTGGTAAGACAGGCGACTCCTGTTCCCCTTCTGACAGGCGCACCGACACTTTCTCCTGGGTCTTGACGTACATGCTCCAGGGCGAGACGTCGGCTTGGTTCTTCTCCGGTTGAAAGATGATAACGTACCACTTAGGCAGGTAGATACAGGCTAGGATGTTGACGGCGAACAGGAAATCCACAAATGCCAAGCCAAAGATCTTCCCCTTGCCGACCGCGCCGTATTCTATCGCTACATAAAGGAAAGAGATCACGTACCAGATGAACATACAAAAGGAAGTCCACCGCACTTCCATGTCATTCTCCGGGCTGATTTCTTCGTTCATGGACATGATGGAATACACAGTTGTCACGGCCATGTTGTAGAATATGACGACCAAGAAACCGAAGCCCGTGTGAATGGAACACTCGATGTAAACGGTGAATGGGTCGTCCGTAGAATAGCGCAAAATCTCGTTTGGAAGCAAGACCGCTATAAGGACTGTTACAACCACGTGGATGGTGAAGGTTCCTATGGCAAATGCTAAGCGAGGTGTGCAAATGCACTGGCCCCAGCTCTCCTTGATTTGACCGTCGGAGTCGTAGTATCGGTTGTCGACGAATACACTCTTACTTATCAAGGCAGCCAGGGGTATACCAAGAGTTAGGATGAAGAAAGCTCGATAGCCTTCACAGGATGCTTCGTTAGGCTTGCTAAGCAGGGGTATGGATATCAGAAAGAGGATAACAACGAAAGGCAGGAGTAGGAGTGTGGCATTCTTGACTCGACGCATGACAGGTGTCTCTCTGTTCCTGAAAAGCACCACTGCGACGTAGACACTGAAGCACACGCCTGCTACCATCAAGAACAGCATGATAAGGCTACCAGCATCGCTCCAATACACGTAGTCTTCAAACTGAGTGATGCATTCGTCCTGCGCATTACTAGCAGCTGAGGCGGCTGGGCATGGCTTGCACGCCAAGGAGTCTTCCATTTCGCTGACTGAATTTTCCGCGCAAGGCAAGCAGTGCCAGCAGCATTCAGCCTCACCTCGTGTCTCCTTCAAGGCCTTGTATGTGCCAGGCTTGCAGGGATCGTGGCATGCGGATTTTGGAATCTCGTCTTCTTTTGTGTTCCATTTAATCTCCGTTGATGGTCGCATTGTCAGCTTTGGAGTGTCTCGGCCCGATTGTTTCCAGCTTCCGACGTCAGACAGCTGCAGGTTCTTCTGCTCTTGGACAGACACCGCTGAGCCATTTCCAGTTTTCTGCAGAGTCAAAACTTTGTACACTACATCATTGAGGTTCCTCTGACTATTAAAACTTATTTGGTGTCCGCTGAGGCTTGTAAAATTTACGTTCTTGATGAACTTGAAAAAGTCGTGATCTTCGGGACAGTTTGTCTTGCACTTTTCCTTAGCGGATAGAGCATGAGCCACTGCAAATATAGAATCGATAGTGCACGTGGCACTGTCTGCCATTAACGTTAGCGTGTTCACGAGCTGCGCCAATAAAGTTTTGTTAACACCGCACAGCGGACACAGAGCCTTAGTGGGTGCGACAGAGGGGGTGGCGGATGCTGTTGAAGGAGACGGAGCAGGTGTAGATGGAAGAGGCGTAGTGGTGTTTCCGGTGGAATTAGCAGAGCTGTTCGGTTGAGCACTTGAGACAACTGGTGCTTGGGTCGGTGGACTTGTTGTAATCTCGACGGTGGATTTAGCATCCGGTGAAGTAGTAACAGGTGTGGAGGCCCGCACCATGTTCATGATCCATTTGTTACGTTTAGGACGCGTGAGAAGTTCTTTCAAATGTGTTTTAAACTCGGCGATAGACGCCGATGTTCCAACTTTGAACATTCCTTGAGCCGCAGTGTTTTCAATTGGAAATCTCGCCTCATTGTCCCACGACGATTCACTTCCAATCCAGGTAACGTCGCTAATTTTCTGCTTGAACGCTTCGTCGATAATACCCTTGAATAAGCGCTTGGATGTCAACATTACAACCACTGAAAAATTCTTGTCCGCCTTCAAAGAGCTGATAAAGTTTTGGATTTGCACTCCACTGGCGTTTGATGACAACGAGTATTTCCTGCCGACGCAGATAAATTTGTCCTCAGCCTCTTGTTGGAAAAGGTCCGCCTCGTACTTTCCCTCGGCGCTGTCGTCGTGCACGACACCGACGTAAGTCCAGTTAAATCGCGCGGCGAGATGAACCATCGCTCTTAGGTTAGTTCTATCCCTCGCGACAGCATGGAAAATGAACTCAGTACGAGAGATCAAGTCCGGCTTGTACTTGACTTGGTAAGTGGAAGAGATGCAGCTCATGTGAGGCGTTTGACTGCTGAACAACATAAGCAAGGCGCGGCGATACTCGGGAAGCTGCTGTGGTAGATTGCCTACTGCTGCAACCAGGGGCTGGTCTTCTGGTCGCGGAGAATTCACCACCAGATCAAGAGCAGCCGAAACCGGTCTCGGACAAGTGTCTCTTATGTCGCAGCCTAGCTTTGATCCCAGTGTCAGATATTCTTGGTCATTGATGGCCTTCAGTGCAAACAAAATGGCTTCGACAGTCAAGATGCCATGTAAGTCTGGTGTAACGCATGAATCTCCGCTTTCTTTTTGATGTACGGAAACGAGACCACCGATAATCGCGTCCCCGGGTTTTTTGAGGGATTCTCCTGCGGAAACGATGTCAGCCCGCAGTGTGTTGCAAAGCCAAAGCGTAATAAAAAATGCACTTACAGAAATCTTGTCCATGTTTTCTTGTCCGCTGTTAAGGCCAGATGGGTCTGTTCTTGTCGAGAAAAGATTACGTCAAGTCGAAGATCATGGACTTCTTGGATTGATCCTGATAAAGACAAACGTAAAACAAAACGTTTACAAGACAAAAAAAAAAAGATCTTTCACGATTCACTCAATGTATAATCACTAAATAATTTCGATGATTACGCGAATGACGAAAATAATGAAGAAAGGTCGCCTGGTTATTATTGTTTAAAAGTCTTTTATGTTATTTGAACTTGAATAAGCCCACGTACCTTGAATTATAAAGCAGATCTGAACGGATGCACGTTGAAGATAATGTCATAATATAGACAGCGTTCAATCTATTTACACCGTAGTATGACAAGAGAACGATTCTGTTCCCTGTGAATAGCAGATTTCGTAACACCCAAGTGAATTGTCAGCTAGTGGCGGGCAATCACACTTGGCTCGAGAGCATTTGCATTTAACCCCAAACAAACATAATAAAAGCAATTATCATAAGTACATCTTGCTTTAAAACAAGACCTGTGGGCAGCTGCTCGTTCATTTTTAAAAATTAAACGAGGAAATTGGCCTCTTATGATTACGTTTCCTGTTTTCTTGAGCTTACTTGCGCGGAATTCAAACCAGGGTGAAAACTCTTCGAGATCAGGACAGCAGACGACCAACCATCGCTCAACGTATGAAGTTATATTCTGGCGCCCGCTGAATTTATTGCTATCTTACTGTGTCACGACACAAAAAAAACTGTCGAGACTCTTTGTGACCACAAATGCATAGGATTATATCAAAACAAAAATATATACGTTAATTGAGTAGGGTAGGTGGAAAACAACGAAGTGGAATCACAGATGCGAGCTGGTTCAGCATAAAAATGATTTGAAAGCCATGGTTTTCTAGGATGACCTTATTCCCTTTAATTTGCATAAATCTTCATTGTGGTTCTCGTATTGGTGAGGTCTGTCTGAGAGACAAGTTCGGTAACAGTGAGTCATATGGAACAGAATACTTCCAAATATTTACTCGCCGCACAAAGCAGTGGTCCTGAGAGCTGACACGAGGCACTGCTGTTTCTTTGTTCTTTACACTATGGAAACTAACGTAAGTATATAACACACAAAAGAGGAGCTTTTGTGTGTTATGGTCTTTTGAAAGAGTTTATACGAATAAGTGTGGTGTAAAAATTGATTTCCAGCGTATAACATGCCCGTAATTAAAGTTTTTCAGGTTGATCTTACGTGCTGATAACTAGCAATACTGCCCACAGTTCAACTGTTCAAGTTTTCATCCCTTTTTGACCGAAAAATAACTTGAGTTCATGAAAACAATGGAGATGTCAGAATGGATATTAAATAGCTCCATAATAGACGGATCAACTTGAAGGCGTGGCGAGTGTTTAGCTGTTTCTAGAAAGACCGTATCTGCCTGCCTGGAGCCTCGGTGCCTTTTCATGTTTTAATTGAACAAAGGAAAAATTAAACGCAGAGCTGTTGCAGGCATTGAAATCGTGGACGAGAACGAAGAAGAAACGTAACGGGGCGAGTTTAGGAAAACAAAAAAAAAATTGAGAAAAGGCCAGGAATTTGTTCCTTTGTTTAATTACTTGGTCTTTCGCCAGTTTATTTGGCCTTTCCAATTGATTTTCTACCACAATTCAACAGCCCTGAAATACGCTAATTAATTGAATGATTAGCAATGGAATTAAACAGCTCCATTTAAAGTTTCGTTGCATCTTTTCTGCCAGCATAACAGTACAACTAACTAAGTAATAAAAAGATTATGTGAAAATTTCTAAGACAGCTTCAAACAAACGAAACATTGCGCGACTCGATTGAATTCTTGAAATTCGGGGAATAATAATAAATAACTGTCAAATGCACGCTGGGTCGGTCAGTCATCAGATAAATACTATAGAGATGTGACAAGTTTTTACCGCTCAGCACGAACCTGGTGACTCTTTTGACGTGCATTAGGAGAAATGAAAGACTGTTTCTTAACAACGCTCTCCTCTACCAGACATTACTCAAACAATCATGACACATTATGTGCACCTGCTTCGATAATCCCTTCCCGCCAAAAGTGATCTTTATATTATTATTAACGAGACTTGGTACGGAACAGATGAAGATTTGGTATCACGGAGAGTTACAGTAGATTGACCCTTTATGTTTATCTAGACTCTTATGTTTGCCTCAGTGTAATCGTTTGAAAGCATCAATGGAGGGGTTGTAAGGTTCTCAATGTGTTGTTCTCTGTCTTTGAGCTTCGAATTCAGAAAGGAGACTTTTTTGTGGCATTCAAGTAGACAACGTGCTTCTAGGAAACTGGAAACTTTACCTCAACAATCGTGCTAGTTTTAAGCCGCGTAGGACTGAGAACAGGTATTACCACAGACTCGATGCACTGTTCGTGCAACATGTGTCTTCCACCGTTCTTGTGTTGATTGATCTAAGTGCTATTTTCCGCGCGGTTTTGGCCTCATAGGATATTCTTCAACGTGAAATCACGCGATAATTTTCCCAGGAATAGATTGTTTTCAAAACTTTTCGCCAATCACTCGTAGCGAAATTGTTTCATCGCATTATATTTAACAGATGCAGTCAAAATGCGCAAAATTCTTCCCCTCGTCTTCAAAAGTGCGTGACCATGGGGCCTTTTATCTCAATCGTGCTCAATTTTTTTAGTGTATACAGTAATTTTTGCAGTACACATTTCACTGTTTTATTTCATTAGTGTTGTGCCGATCGCTCCTTCAGCCTTGAATCTCCAGAGTGTTTAGTGAAAACAATTAGTGGCGGAAACTAGACTTAGTTCAGTGTTAGGTTCCGGCGATGGTCCGCGATAAACTTATTAAAAGACAAGCCAAGAATTTGTCAAGTGTGACCCATGATGTGTGTGTCCGATGAAGTTTGCTTGACTGTGCACGGTGCAGTGTGCGAAATATAACTCAGATAAATCAGCTATCGACGAAAATTGCAATACAAATGCATATAACATAGAAACTCTCGCTTCCTTGGCCGTTTCTCTGCATTTCTTGCGATTCTAGCAGAGTGAACTTGAAGAAACAGACATAACTTGACATTCAATGTCAGCTGAGGTCGGCCGAGCCGGCTGATTTCTTTGCTCGCGACCTTTTTTTTTTCTCCTAAAAGAAATTCCTTTATCAGAAAGTGCCAAAACAGTTTGATAGTTTGTTTTTTTCTTCTTCCCATAAACAGTTGTTTACCAGTGTGCAAAGCACGACGATATGTTATTATAATATGTACCGGATCAACGACCATCAACCGTATGCCGGAAAAATAGTTCATCGAAACTAATCGAGCGCGCGTGTTAAAAAAGCTAAGAAGATTGGGCTGTTAAGCGATATGTTTTGACTAAATGCGCTTAATAAAAATATATTCGAAAGACTACCTCTTAACACCAGAGTATGAAGACAGTATGAAGACTTAAAAGCGTAGTTTAAGGCTCTTAATGTGTTAGTAAAAGCGAATTAAAAGCCATAAATTCAATCATCTGACCATTTTCAAGGGCAATGTGCTATGATTTGGCTTTCTTACTTTCAACACACTCAGCGGTCGATATTTATAGACACTGATTCTCTATGATGATTTTAAATTCCAAGTCTTTCAACAATCGTAAAAGCTCCTCTCCACAGAAGGCTGTTTTTGTATGCTTGTTTAGACTAGAAATGACATAACTACTATCAACCGACCTGTTTGTGTGACCGACCACTAATGGAACTGTCCCATTCGTAAATGGCATAGAAATTAACTTCCACCAAATGTTTCACCGTTGCTTTCGACGCAGGTTTAAATTTCCAAGGACTTAACCTATTTCTGCGTCCAATGGCATAGCTAAACATGCCTAACCAACAAACATGTGTGCACCAGTTTTCGCGTGACGATCGATCACAAAATTTGTGTTCTGCAGCCTGGTCCGAGGATGTGATACGCGATATTACTTCGCTATTCACACTGAAATGCTGTCAGAAGCAGATCTTATAAGACATTATGAGTTCTTACCTTCCAGCAACAAGCCCACACTGGATGGAAAACATGGGACAGCGTCGCAAATCTCCCTGGCAAAATTTATCAAGCTTTGAGTTCACTTCGTTTAGTGCCCTTATTACATGTCAATCTCTCAGAGGTCGGAGACTATCAAGAGCGCTACTCGAAAGCCCTTCAACAAAACACGCGAAAAATGTCACACGGACCAATCATAGCGAGCGGTTAGCGAGACAAAAATTAAAAGATTGTATTTATAAACAAAAGATGAACACCCATATTTACAGCTTGTCAAGTTGTTTCTGGTTCGGGTTTTCTGCTCTCTTGATACTAATAAAAGCTTTTACTAAAGAAGTGCCTTTGTGTTCTACTTCCAACCAATTTGGGCCATTTTGAAAAGACAAAGCACATCAACAGAGAGCTTCGTTCATTGCGGACCCGTAAAATAGAAACAGACAGTGAAAATATACACCAGACACACATATTGCATATCAGTGTTTATATTTTTTCAGTTTGTCCGTATCCTCATCAGCCAAAACATGATCCTGAGAGTTGTACTTATCGACCATTTCCAGAAACTCTCTTCTCTTTCTAGATGAAATTTCAATATGAAGTACTCATTGTGTTATTCACATACCGCAGTAAAATACTTTCTGAAACGGGAAATCAATCTTTTATTTTTGTCAGCTTCAAAGAAAGCATATGTTAGAAAGAAATGATAGAATTCGTAGCCGAGTACATTCAAGATGTGCTAGCAGGAATTTAGCTAAAGAAGATGCCAGTTCTAATTTGTGGCTCCTCAGTTATCTCGTGAATCTGACACGCAAACAGTTCAGTTGCGAAGAATTAGTTCATTTCACTGAACAACTGGGCTATTTTTCCGACAAAGTTCAGGACGCAACCTGTTCACTGACCTTTGTATAACTTTCCTGTTAGGACGAAGACTCTTTCTTTCCTACTTTTGCATAATTAGTGACGTTTTCGCCTGGTATTGCATTTGGAGACTGTTTCAGGTAAACTTAAAAGAGAGTTTTACATTTTAAGGAAAATTAAAGCTAACTCATTAGTCAAACCATTAGGCTCAGTTTCCTTGACTAATCCGCAACGAAAGGCCCCGTTGCTGAAACCCAAGAACTTCGTAAATTCAGTTTAAACGACCTCTGCGGATAATTTCAGTTGCCTCTCTTGCATGACTAGTGTAAGCATTCTAGTGAAGCAATAAGGACATTAAAAGACGTTTCACTGAGGAAATAAACATATTCCAACTAAATTTGACCACGATTGTGGAACCATCTGTGCGAAATCAGCATTTTGCTATAAGGCTCACTGAATGTTAAATTGGTTTTACAGGTCAGGCGGGCTTGGTTTTGAAGAAACTCGCCCGAGGCTGCACATAACAGGCCTGACCCGCGCGGTAACTACATTGCCAAATTAGGAATAGGCCACGTTCGATATATCAATGTTCTAACATGGCTCCAAGGCTTTCGGGTCAAAATCGCAAATTTTTTGAGTTTCTTTTGTCTCTCAATTCCCAAAAGAGACTTGAATACAGAGAAAGCAACACCAAATAGAGAAGTTTGTACTGAAAGCCTCGGAGCCATTTTAGAATATTCATGTATCGAAAGTGGCCTATTAGAAATTATTGTTTTACTTATTCCAGTAAACCTGCTTGCTGTGGCGCTGACCTACTTATATGGCATCTAGAGGTTCCAAAGAGAGGGACTCTAGAAAAGAGTATGTGAAATCACCAAATATGTAGATTGTTGGCAGTCTGTTTTTCTCTCGATAGAAGTCAGGCAGGGAATATGAGGCGAAAATTGGGACGAACCAACCCATTTTGTCCAGTTCGATCACGTTCACGGATCAAGTGCATCCGGTCTTTTCTCCCAGGGTCCAACGGCCAGCAGTACACGGAATGTGAGAAGCAAAAACATGAAGTTTAAAATAAGTGCCTTATCCTCCAGATCGAAAAATAGCAAGGTCTTGTCACTGTCCTCTATGGAAATAGGTTGATGGTCGCCATGTTCTTCATGTAACACATAACGAAGAGTAGGAGAATTGGAGACAGCTAGCTATGCAAACCGCATTCGAGGGTTTGCATAACTTTCAAGAATTCCCCCAACCCAGTGGCGGATCTAAGGGAGGGGCCCGCGCGCCCCTTATTTTGGGTAAAAAAAGAAAAAATCACAGAAGGCAGAGGAGCCGGTAGGGCAAGCAAAAACAAACTGGCAACCCCCCCGCCCCCCTCCCCCCGCTCAGTTCAAGGTCTGGATCCGCCACTGCAACCCCCCGAGCGAGGCTATGTAATATGTCAACAAGGAAAAAGTACTCTATTGCTTTTATAAAATATTTGTCAAAAATGCGCGCGAATCTCAACCAACACAACCGCGTTCACATACTCTCACCTAAACACACCTATCGACCAATGAGAGTGGGTGTAATATCTCAGTTACTTTTGTAACAATACCTCGCAAAAAAGCAATAAATAAATTTCGTCTCGGATATTGAAACTGGCAGACATACAACCTCAAAATCTCAGAATTTGGCCTTTTTGTCACGTGGATGAATTTGTACATGAACTGTATTTTATACTTTCCTGTCACCTTTACGATAACTTACGATTGAAGTTTTTTTTGAAGACACAAATAGAAAATACCATCATTTTGATGTTCTAAGTGATAAATTAAAAATTCTCTTTCTTTTTAATAATGTTGATCCCTTTATCTGCAGACTTACAGCTGCCCAGATCCATTCGTGCATGGATTACAGATGGAATGCTACTGTGCCAGTTATGGTCTCTTGCTATTACTTAATCTATTAAATTATTGTAATTTAGTTACATTACATTAGTCTTATTATATTTTAGGTAATACCATGTACTCGTACGGGAATACTGAAATAAATTCTTGTTGTTGTTGCTGTTACAAAAGTATTTCCAGGATAACAACCAAGATAAACAAGAACATCAACATAAAATTCTTCGCTGGGAAGATAAGAAAGCCCTTGGATTTCAAACACTATAAGGAAGTCTCGTTTGGATCTCAGAATGATGCGGTTGAATATATTTCCACCTTACTGGAAGTTGATGCCGCCTTGCCCGAAAATCCGTTTTACGTTTTGAAGTACAATATTTTTGTGTAAACAAGAAAAGAAATGATCGGCTAAAAACGTGACATATTTCTGATTATTTTTTGAAATCTACGGTACTATAAACATGATAAATAACTCTCCAAAGTAGTACAGACTTTGTACGACCTTTTAAAACAATAAACCAACTTCGTGTTTCACTGCATGAGGTCACCTGAGGACAACGGTCAGCGGTTTTACCATGGATGACAGGTGTTTAACACGGACGCAAAAATATTGCAAGGATAAAGATCAAGTTGAAAGCTGATAAGGATTTTACAAGAGCTTTGAAAAAAAAAAAAGAATGTTTTGTGTTTTGTTTGATGTTAACGAAAGAAAAATAAACATTGCGCGATCTAGTTACGATTAATTAGCATATTGTGACAAATAAAATACACATTTTTGAGCCCAAAATTAGACCGAGGAGAATGGTTTTAATTTAATGGCTCTGAACTCACAAAAATCGCCACAAATAATTGATTTGAGAAATTTTTTCGGTATGAGTGAAGTTTAGGTGGTGATCAAGGCAAAGTAACTATAAAGCAGTCAGAAGCAGTAGGGAAGTAATTTTATGCCAAGAAGAGTACTTACCGCAAAGTCTAATATTATTTAGTAGCGGAGATCCGACAGGAATCTTTTACAAATCTCTTCCCACTGGATACGCGGCATTCGTGATACACTTGAACTCGACCATTGTCGTGAGATCATAAAGTTTTCTAGAAGACAAGGGAGACAATTAACGCAAGCCTATACAGAAAAAAAAGAAATGCTCTGCCCCGCATTCAAAGCTTTCTTCGACAGTAACCCATGGTTCATTCAAGCGCCAGGGGCATGTTTTGTGATACAGTGAATAAAAACTCAATAGGGGGTGAACTTTTTCGCTATCAAACAACGCGGTAACAATAGACTCAAATTCGAAGAACCAATCAAGACTAAATGCCATACACCAGGGCGACTTACAATCCACAAAGAGACTCTACTCCAGTTGATGAAAACCAATGGCCGGATGCAAGAAACCAATTGCTTTATATACAGGCCGTAATTTGAAAGAGCAAAATCATATATTTGCAACTAATGTTCGGGATAAATAATTTATAAATGCTTGCGTGTAAATATAAATGGGCTTCTTTCCATTTTTAACTTCAAAAGCACTATTATCTGCAACCCATAAAGGTGGACAATTTTCATCCGCTTTCCATCATAAGAAGTCTGTCATTATTTACTCTCGCTTATCATGAATAATTCTACCAAAATGTGTTTTTTTTTATCCTTGTCGGACAGTTGAGAGGCATGATCTTTTCACATGTCCGAGCCTATGAATACAACGCAGTCCGGTTTTACATTCACTCACATGGGTTTATCAAAATCAATTATATTTTTTTCTGTTTACTTCATATTTAATGCATTACCTGATTCCCGGCTTGCCCGTGCACAATAGCTTGTGAACAGGCTCTCAAGTTGAGGATCGGGCGAAGACGAAGCGGAAAGAAAGAGGAGCCACTGAGTTCTCTTCTTGGCTCTTCCAGCCGCGGCCAGACCATTCCACCCGGAGCCTGTTTACAGGCTAGCGTATAAGGACTGTTGGGAATTAGAAGGAAAGCGCAAAAAAAAAACAAAAAAAACCAGGCTTTCGACTCTTGCGCCGTCGACTTTGGAAGTCTGTGCTGCATGGCCAGCACCGTTCCGGCCCCTAATAACTGAGTGATTCTTTGAAGAAGTTGCATTAATTTCATATCTTTTATTTTTTTCCAATGTATACATCCAGTTGTTATTTACCTAAAGCAGAAGATACATCACAAAAGGCACAGACAGGTCACAAGTGACAACAGAATCGAGTAGTCAAGGCCCAGGCCCGGGAATCTTGAAAAGTGGACATAATTACTGTCAAGGAACTGGGAAGTAACCAAGGGCTTTGCAAATAGTTCTTTACAGTAGAGGAACTGGGACACGCTAATTTGCAAAGCACTGAAAAAAGAAAAGTTAACTTGAAGGAACAAGGGGAAAACACAGTCCCCCATTTCCCATTTGTCAGGCTGACAACTGGGGACTCTTTCCCTTCTCTGGCTTGAAGGCAAACGACATGGAACATGGTAACAAGGGACTTTACCTTTACAAAACGGGCTCATAAAAAAAATACGCTCTGTACTCTTGGAATGGGAGTACAGG